TCCGGTGGGTCCGTTTTGCGCTCTTCATCGACATGTGTCCGGCATTGATCCGAGCCTGTCCGATATCAGTTAACACCTAACGGATTTCAAGTCAACGAGGATTGTCTGCAAATTTTTCTTCATTTAAATATAATTTCAATGTTGATTTTGAATCATATGTAATTTGAATTTTTTGAATTTTGCATGTGACAAAGCATGAGAAGAGAAAAGAGAAAAAGAGCTCCAGCGCTTTTATTGGTAAAGGCAAGGAGCCAGGCTTGTTATTTATGTTGACGGCACCTATTTTGCTTTTACGCTTTACTGGAAAAAGCCCGTGGATAGGTGAGCGACCATTTTTACGGCTATGTTTATGCATTGTCACGGCTCGATGACACACCCAGGTCGCATTATAAAGTACCAAGTAGCGATCAGTCCTCCGCCCCCTTGACTACCTGAAACACAGCCTCCACCTCACCCTCGGCAAGTACAGCGATGTTGCCGAACAAATGGTCGTTTTATACCCACTCCAGAGGTTCTTTCTGGCAATCCTTGGGCAACTTGAGTCTGTATGTACAGCCTTTATGTACACAGATCCCAATTTTTTTTCATTTTAACGCGCAAAGTCGTGAAAATATTTTGCACGTAAATACGAGCAAATGCGAGAGTATTTGCGCGGTAAATAACAAGCCTGCAAGGAGCTGATGGTGGCGTCCTTGCCGTGGTGTGCAACATTTCTTGAAGGCGAATCGCAACATCTGCACGAGCGAGTCTCCAAATCTCACTGAGAAAGCTCATTGGTGAACGCGCTGATCGAATTTGGTCTCGCGAAGCGTCGCTGGACATCTGAAACGACGACTGATCGTGCATCGGAAATTGCATCGGAATTAGCATCATTTGCTCTGCATTCCATTATCGGCATGATGCAATGCGCTGTAGTACATTAGAGCTCAGCATACCAAACACATTATCAGTGAAATTCATCTTCCCATGTCCCGTAATGAGAAGGAACCTGTTCTTCGAACTTCAAGGCTTCATTGTGTGGCGTGTTTCTACAGCATAAAGTACGAACAGACCATACAAGACGTGAAGGTTGCGGTGGCGCACAAGTTGGGCGTACCCGTCGTAAACCAGCAGCTGTTTTGGCACAGAAAGGAGCTCACAGAAGAGGACTGTAAGAAAACGCTGCTGGAGATGAACATGCACACAGGATTCTCACTGAGGGGATACGACCTGGTGAGGCGCGCCGGCCCTGCGGCCCTCGCCGAGCAAAACCGTAAACCTAAAAGCCCCAAACCTGACCCTATCGTGGATGAGGAGAGCGTACAAAAGACCATTACTAAATTATAACTACAGAGAATGAGATGCACGAATAAGGACTGAAATGAACTTAGAACAAACCCTGACGTGTGAAGCCGCAGCGAAATGACTGAGAACAGTCTGCCAGAATTGCGGAATTCGGTGAAAGGGAGGAGGGAACATTTGAGTCCAAGCAAAGGTCTATAGACTTAAGATGAGGGGGATGTATTATAGAATGACTTTTAGCAATGAGGTTTGCGTTACATCGCCGAAAGATTGCCAGGATTCAACATCACTCTTGTCATATCCAGTTCTCCACAGAAGGTGTCACATATTTCCACAACCGCAGAATAGACATGTCGTTTTGAGTCCCCTTTCACCAGCGATACGGGCACTCTCGCTGAGGTCTACCCTGCAAGTCACAATGCAGTAGGCATTGCGCCTAGTCGCCTCGTCCTGAAATACAGGAACTTCTGGAAGGTTCATTCCCGCTCATTCAAGCGATCTGCCCTCTGTGTACACAAATCGTGTTGAGAGGCTGATGCCCATCGCCCTTTCGCCATTTCCACAGAGCGAGCCCCCGGACTACTGGCCTGAAGTCAAGAAGACCCCTCAAGGGCTCGTGGAAGTCGTGTAGAATGTGCCTGTGCACGGAAGCTGAGAGGCGGAACGCTCGCCAACGGAAGCAACGCCATTGCAACGCTGTGAGGTTCACCGTTTTCCCTGTCTGGTATCTGCGCATGCCGTGTTGCATTAGCAGCGAGCACCCCAGGGATGACGCTGTGAGAGGAAAGTTAGCGAGCATGGTGCGAGTTTTCTTTCTTCAACGACTTCGTGTCCACTGATGGTCGCGCGCCGAAGGGCAGCCCTTAGATTCAGGGGCACGGTGCCCCAATTTGATGGACTGTCTCAATACGGCCACAACACACAGTGCAACACACAACACACTTAAAAATATACAATACAATACATACTATTAATAGTGTGCGTCATGTCGCACACGCAAAGCTGTGTGTTGCGGCGATCGCAATGCGGCTGATGGAAGATTGTTGTGAGCGCACGGACCAAGGATGCAGCTGGACAGATACTGAAGTGTCCCGTGGACAAAAGCATCACCACCCGTTTGGACACCAGCCTGGTACTTGTCCACATTTTTTATGGGTCGCGCTGCGCCATCCTTGCTGCATGAAAGACGGACACATGCGACATGCGGTTCTTTAAATGAAACAGCAAAATTCATCAATTATTAGTGAATGATTATCAGTCGGACTTGATGATTCGTCCATGGCAAGCCCTCTGCCACCTTGCATTGCACATGTGTTTTTATGTATGTTGTCATAACATCTTTTTGGAAAATATATATTTTTAAAAAGAGCCTGAAAACGATCTTCAATATATCTTTTTGAAAAAGATGCGAGCTTTGTAGCGCAACCGACCAATCAGACGAAGCGCACGGGAAACCCACCAATCAAGCTTCCAACCGTCGCCCCATTAACCAAACACTTTGAATCAGCAATCGCCAAAACGACCAACCAACAAAGTACATCTGCGCATGTATGCCCAGCCCTCCCACATGTGTCTCGTGAATATGCAACGATGGCCGCCAGGATTGGCACAATGACCAAATTCAGGACCTGTTTTAGAATCTTTGAAGAAATAGATTTTTTCCGTTCCGACTTCCCATTTCATCCATTTTGCCTTTCTCTTTCTCGTCCTTTCAATGGTAGGTAGCAGCTCATTGACTGATATTTGGGCCTTTCCGTATTGCGCTCAGCTGTATGTAACGGAGCAAGCTTAGCGGTTCAGTAATGTTGATTTAAACAACAGCCTACCATCCCTTTCCTCAGTACTTACCGAACTAGTCAAGTACGATTCTCACGAGGGCTCGCTGAAGTCATCTGCAAGAGGTGAAATGCACCCGATCATAGGTAAGGCCCGTGATTTCATGCATGGCAAATGGCATTGAACACATTGCTGGGATTTCGCGGTTTGACTCGTGCTTATTGCGTTTTCCGCCGTTGCTATCATGCCCTATTATTGCAGAAGTGCAATATTTCGAATGCGACATTAATAATAGTGAGTGAATCGATATTGCAGTGTTGCGCTTGTGCGTGCTCGTAGTTCGGTGCGACAATCTTCCCAGGCGCGGGGACAGGCCGCCAATGGTGTTATTGATATTGACATTGGGTATTTGATTCAAAGCGAATCCCAAACAATGTTTGGGACATGTCATGCTGCACAATGTAGCATGATTCAGACCATCCCGGCTCCCCTTGATTACCGTCTCCCTTTTCACCAAATTATTATTCACCAAAAGGCACATCTCCACAAACGCTCTAACGCAGTAGGGGACAGTAGGGGGTCCCTATACAGCGCCCCCGGCCCACAATAGTGCCCCCTTTTCGGCTTGTCACCATTTCTGTAGTGCTCCATGTAGCTTGAAGAAAGAACTGTGCGCAGTGGGACCTGTACCCCCTACACTGGCGGTCAAGGTACCCCCTATACAGGCGGCCAAGGTACCCCCTATACCGGCTGCCAGGATACCCCTTACACTGGCCGCCCAGGGCACCCCTTACACCGGCAGCTAAGGGTACTCCCTACACCGGCGGCCAGGGTACCATTTACGCCGGCTGCTTAGGGTACCCTGCTTAGCGCCCCCGCCCCCCAACAGCGCCCCCCTATTGGCCATGTCACGGGGGGCGCTATATAGGAACCCTGCTGTACTAAATTTCCGTGTCGTAACAGATATGTACATGGGGCATAGTGGGGCGGAATGGGCAATTTCGTACCAGTGCTTGGCGCTCGCGACAAATGGCTCTATCGCACTACCCAGATGCCCTCCATGCCTCAAACCAGGCACTCTGAAATCTGCTGTTGGCTAAAGCAAAAGGTGGGAATTCTTTATTGCATGGATGCGCGGTATGTAACAATTAATTAAGCACCCTTCGTGCCCAAAGGCGATCACCAATATTGGGAGCCGAGGCCCAACAAATTGGAGACTGCTCCCAAACATCGCCAACATTGCGCACACGCACTACCAACATGCTCCTTTTGCCACGCTCCAACCCCTTTCAGCCTTCACCGGCGTGACCCCATCCCGCCCTAAAACAACGTAAAAATAGCGCCGCGTTGTTGCGGCCCGTGCATCGACGTGTTGTTGCCCTCAGGGTCTCTTCGACGGCCTCGGCAGTACCCCCGCTCAGCCGAACGAGGAAGATGTGACCAGTTGCGGGTGGGCACGCCCGCTCCAGCTCGACCCCCGCGTACCGCAGATTGCAGCGCACCCCCACGCCCCATACACTTATCCCATACGCGCTTATACTTATCCGCACTGCGAATTGCACTCCGCAATACGACACGGCTCAGCGGCGCTGATTCAACTCCAACCCAATGTGACTGTCCCATCGTGCCCCCCATGGTCCCGTCTTCCGCCCCCTTACTTCGCAGGTCCGACGTGCCTCGGGGATAAACTCCCCCCCACTCGTAACTGCACTCGTCTGACCCCGCGGCCCCTCGATTGCACCCCGCCTTCCCCCTGTCATAAGGCTGTTCGGTGTGTCGCATTCGATATCTAAGAGAGCCCCCAGGCCCATTCGGCGCTCAACTACTCCCCTCCCTCCGCCAAATTCCGCTGAATCGCTGTCTGGCCCGCGCGCTGCCCCCCTCACGCCTCTCCCGGCAGGCGCACCAGCGGCGACAACAGGAGCCCCCAGCCCCACCTCGCCATGTTTTCCAGCCGCATGGCCAGGGCCCAAGGCCCAGGGATGCGCGTTCCGCCGATCGCCGCGTCCGCCCGTGCTGGCGCACCCTTGACCGCCTCCCGCCCAAGGTGCGCGAGGGTGGCCGCGGGCCGATCGGTCGCGCGGGCGCATCGGCACGGCGCTTCGACGCGCGCCTCCGCCTCCGAGACGCCGTGGGTGGCCCTCGGCGATGCCGTGGCGGACAAAGGCCGGAGCCCGCTGGACGCCCTGCCCCTCCCTGAAGGTAGGGTGAGGTGGTGGGGATGAGGGTGGTGCTGGGGTTGTCGATCCAACAGCGTGCGCGGCGCTATAACGGGCAATAGGCAGGCAGCACAAGGGGGTGGATTGGGGGGGTGGCTTCGGTCGGCACGACGGGGGTCTGATCGCGGGCATGTCGAAACCCCATGAGGTACCGTCGCATGCCGCGCCGGCCGCGGTTGCGCGATCAGGGCGGCGATCAGCGAAGGGGGGGCGTCTGGTCGGCTGGCCGCAGCGGGGAAAGGGCGTGGGCCTGTCGATGCCCGCGTGCATTCCGTCCATTGCTGCGCGCCACCGCGTGCCTCCGTTCCGAGAGGTGGGAGGGGGTTGTCGATGGGGTTTGGGGATGTACGGCGCCCTGAGGGCAGAGCGCCCCTTGGCGGACGTCCGGCAAGGGGCCATCGGCTTGATGGGTACGAGGTTGACGTCCCGCCGCTGGGGTAGGCGCAGGGGCCTGACGCGTGGCCCTGGCACACGTGGGATCGGTGCACGAAGGTGGTAGTACATTACTCGGGGCGGTGGCAGTACTAGTAGTTTGAGCTGGTCGGGCGGCGGCGTTACGACACGGAAAGGCCATGAGGGCCGAAAAAGTGGACGGGTGCTGACGGGGCTCAGCGGCGTCAGTGGAATGACTGTTGTGTGGGCGGGTACTTGACGGGTAGGACTGCCGTGCTCCTTAAACCCTGGTTGGGTGGTTTGGTACAGCAGTGGGACGTCACATCAGAGGTGACCGCTTCGATCGCCAGTTTGGTCATCCTCTTTGGCAACGGCAGTAAAACAGTTCGGTCCGCCCCTCCGTGATCCCTCAGTCTACGATAAATGTAGGGCAAATATACGATAGCAAAACGGGTATCTATGGTAAACATACGGGTCGGGAATGGATTCGAAACCGTAGATACGGGAAGTGCTCAATTACCAGTTGTTGAGTGTCTGACGCAGCCGCGTAGCTCATGGGCCCGGATGTGCCACAAGCGTGCGCTTGTCGACAATTCGAGGAACTCGCGGTGTGCGCTGTGCGGTCTCTGTGCATGCTCAGGGGCATATCTTGACTGCTGAAACCCGCAATGGCCCTGCGGCAGGGCCCCTGGCAACTGCGTGTCCCTTTCTGCAGGCACGTCCGCAGAGGTACATGTATGTGCAGGCGAGGCTCGTGCACGTCTGCGCACTCTGGGCGAAGAGCCTTCACAATTTGCCGGCACCTCATGCCAGCCTTTGCAAATAAGCTCCTGGCGCACCTATATGCCCAGTGCATGCAGCAGCGTCCGTTGACACTTGTTGCAGATTGCTCCACCTCAGGTGCATTCGATAGACGTCAATGTAGCATTTTCTGTTGCTGCAAACATATTCCATTGTCGAGCACAGCGAAATTCCTTTCCTGGTATGCCACAGGAGACTGCGGGTTGCCGTTTGTTGGCAACACCCTTGACTTTTTCAACGGGCCGCAGAGCTTTGTGGCTGACCGTGTGAGGAAGTACGGTCAAGTCAGCAAGGCGTCCATCCTTGGGAGGGACACGGTTATCGTTGCTGGCAAAGAGCTGCTGCACCAGGTGAGTGCGTGAGCTGCCATTCACGCAGCCGAGTCGTGCGTCCGCGCGTCACCGTACTTGAAGGTGTTTGTACGGTGGACAGCAAAATATGCTCTCTTTGCGCCTACATCAGTGTGCACACCTAAAACACGCCTTAAGATCTCCATATGAAGCTTCATCATTTTGCACATGCAAAATAATTGTCAAAGAACTTGGTCATCTATACGCTCTGTTTCAATCTGCGATTCTCTGTCGCAAGACTCCCTTCGAACGCATATGTATCAAATCGCGGGGCCATCTTCATTCGCATTCACGAATCATTTTATTCGTTATGTGAGGAGATTGCTGTGGCTGTGTTCATTCAATGACATTGGCGTGTCCTGGCACGAACGGAAGTCCCCCACATACGGGTATTTTCGAGTGTGCCAGGTATGCCCATTCGAAGTAACTCAAATTTGTGAGTCTTTGACTTAGTCAACGCAAATGTCCCAGTTCTGTGAGTCTAGACCGCAGGCGGATGTCCAACGGTCGATTGGTTTGAACGCAAGGATATTTTCATACAATGCGGCGGCGTGAAGGGGCCACACCTCATTTGTCATGTCTGCAGATGCTTGTGGAGGAGCGTGGGCTGCTGATCCAGGATTACTACGCGGGCCTCAAAGCGCTCTTTGGACCTGCCTCTTTAGGGCTTCTTGACGGTGCGCCTATGTGATTCCAATCTGAAAACAGAATTCCCAATGCATTCAGGGTTGCAATCAGGGAAGCAATTCATCCATCCAAGATGCCTGACAAGCATAGATACGACGTGCAGGCGAACATGGATATGAATGTTTTTGAGTTATCTCAGGGCTACCTGATCTATATTCTAGATCTGGAAAGAGCGAACGAGGATCAAGTAGCGAGTGTGGTTCCGTCTTCTTGTTGGGTGTGGAGCTACTGTTCATAAATATTAGGTCAACCTGCATTTCAGACATGACCAAATCCAACAACTCGTATCCTGCTGAGATGCACAGTGTTTTGCGTGCTTCTTTTCTGCGACTATGGGGTCCGTATTCTGGCAGATCTATCCCCACGCTTACTTGCGTAATTAAGTGTCCGCGGCTGCTCAATCAATTTTTTTGAGTGCGCAATTACGTAGAGATCCAAGCGCGCACCGCTGGACACACTTTGGCGTGCGCGAGCAGCGGCAAACATCTTATTGACCCTTGTATGACTTGTACAACCTTGCAGGCGACGATCACAAACGGCTGCGACGGCTATTGGGCCCTTCTTTCTCAAAGGCTGGTCTGAATGCCCACATTCCTGAGATCGCAAAGATTGCAAGCGACTTTTGCGGGGAATGGGCAGAAAAGGGAGGAATTGGGTTCGCGCATGAGGTGGGCGGACTCTGGCTTGCGCAGCGCCCGAATTGTTCAGATCGCCACGTTGATCGAAACATACGCAACCGTATCCACACGTGAAGGAAGCAACTGGAGCTACAAATGTGTTTATTGAATTTGCTATATTTGTTGTATTTGCTGCATCTATTCGGTGCGGATGAAATGCTTGGTTGCAAGGGGCTTTTGGATTGCGTTGTTGCCATATGTAATACAAGGCATTTCAAGGGGTTTTCTGATGTCTAAGTCTTTTTGTATTCGGCAATGTTTGCCCAATTGGAATATTACCCAACTGACATGTCGGCGCCCCCTGGAGAGCAATGTATTGGCTTGAGCTTCGTGTTTCGCCAATTATGAAGCCTTAAGATAATTCCTCCAGTCGAAAACGGCACATTGTGCATGCACTTTTTCCACTGATATTGAATTGGCTCGTATTCTTTTATGTCCGCTTTGGACTCAGAACAATTTCGGAGTGGCTATCCAGGATTACTCGCAGTTCCTTCTTTCCGTATTTGGCCGATCTCCTATCGGGTTTCTACAGCTCGATTACGAAGTCGAAATATGATGCTAAAAATTGATGACAACCATAACGGCAGTGCTATCTAACGGTTTTTAGAATTCCAAGCACGTTTGCAATAAAGCCACGTTCGTGCCTTTGCATCCCGTTGCCTTTCGTGCGCATTGGATATTATCATAAGAATCGGAACGAGGACGCGAAACTCAAAATGGGTTGCAGTCACTCCAAACAGACATTTGTTGAGAAACAAGCTGCGAATGACCAAGCGGACTGGGGGCGAATATGACTGGGAAAACGAGTTGGAAGTATGTAAGGAGATTCTTCGGAAGAAGAAGCGTGTCAGAACAAATGGTTTCGCCTAACTGTAATATAATGTCAATTTCTCTAGCGTATCCCTAGGTGTGGCAAAGCTTTTCTAAGCATTTCTGGCATTTTATTTACATATTGTGTATTCTGAATGTGTTAACATCTAGGAAATGGAAAGCCCTTGCCCAGGACAGGGCAGGCGAAAATCCGGGGTGAACAGTATATGGGGTGAACAGTGCTCTACCAGCTGCTATATCCTAGCTAATATCCAGGGTATAGCAGCGATTAGCGTGCTGTTCACATCATCGTATGAATATGGTAGAGCTCTGCTCGCCCAATCGTGGAAGAAACATATAAGCAGGTTTATTTGCTGCATTTGAACGTTCGTTGTGCATTTATCTGGTGTAATAAAAACGGCGCCTCAACCACCATGTCGCAGGATATCACATCATATTGAGAATTTTCCCATCACAGTACGTCGGCATTTGCAGTGTATCAGATGACTTGTCTTGTTGGTTTTGCATCGCTGTTGGTATATCATGTCTGTGTAACAGTGCTTCCATTATTTAATATTTAGTGACGGAATCGTCGATCAGCTAATCACTGGTGTGCAGCCAGTCGTTTGGAAAAATTTCCGTCATGTCTATTGTGGTGTATTATTTCAACCCGGCCGCATAGCCACATGCGCAAGACCCGAGTCTTCAATTCTTTTAACGCTGGTGTCGCAGGCCTCGATGTTCGCTCTCAGCGTCGTTATGAAGGCGGCAATTGGTCTCAAATTCCCTGCTGCGGGACACTCCATGGCTGACGTGATTGAAGTGTTCCGTGTATTTGCTCGTGGAATCACATCGCCCGGAATCAACCTGCCGTTCACCCATTTTGGCAAGTCCATGGAGGCACGAAAGAAGCTGGAAGACATTGTACAAGAGGTGAGATTCCATCAGTGTCATGTACATGAAGGAAGAAACCAAAAATGATGTTCGGCGGTAGCTGTAGCGGTGAAAGTTGCCTTGATCTTGACTCGGTATGCATCTTCTTGTCCACATATGTTGGAACTGAACTCTATTCCTGCGAATTGAAAAATATCTTTGGTGTATCCCACAATTCAGGTTGCACTGGCGCATTTGTGCTTGTGCGCAACCTGGTATTGAAGCATTGCACGAATATTGACATGCGGTATATTGCGACAGAATACCTGTGGCTGTGAATATTTTGCCCCTATTTTTATTTCATCGGGACGGGATTGGTGTTTTTTCTTCCTCCCAATAAGCAAATGCGAATGCAAGGTACACATTAACAAGGCTACCGTCAGCCACTGTTTGACTCAAGGGTACCCCATTTGCGGCCTGTACACTGGCGAGAGTAATGAATATTTCGCACAGTGTCTAACCGCTCGGCAATTGTGCGGAATCAGCACCACCTTCGTACTTGAGTCTTACACTGGCGTCAAGCAAACACGGCATTCAGGTTGGACCAATTTGCGCTGCCCTAAACTGGGTGCTCACTGAAAATTTTCAACCGGTGCATGGCCCTTTAGTGTACGCGAAATGCTGCTCCGTTGCAGGCGATTGCCAGCCTCCCTGACGATCCCCAGGAAGGCGGCTGTCTGGGGGCAATGATGTCTGCTCAAGACGAAGACGGGAACGCATTTTCTATCGAGGAAATCCAGGACAACGTTATCAGCCTTGCGTATGGGGGGCATGACACTCCCTCATCGGTGATATCAACGGCATTGCTGGCTATAGGAAGGCGCCCACAGGTACGCCGCATCGCTCTGAGAACGCATTTGGCCTCCGTCCTTGAATTTGCTGCAGGGAGCACCCCTTTTGGCAACGATTTGTAACACCAACTGGTAGCCCTGGCGGGAGAATTGCTGCCAACATCAACTTCGTTCGGAGTCGGTCGCCGCCATTCAAGACTGCGCTAAGCTGGACTCGATCCAAAACTTTGTCGATTGCGCATTGAAGTATTCGCGACTACAAGCCAGTGGGGTCATACTCCAAACTGTCCAGTTCTTTGGCAGCGCATTCTTCGCCAGTGCAGGCAGAAAAATCGCCACTGGAAAACACGTGAATGCGCTCGCATCCCGCGAGCGCGAATGTCGATGATGGCAGTACTTTGAGATGGCAGAAGTGCATTCTTCACGCGCCGAAGCCGCTGTGATTTCCAAAGTACATCTCGTGTGCTGGCATGGAGAAAAACGTTGAGAGAATAATTGGAGAATTGAGCACTCAATCTAAGTGTGCTAACACAACGGGAATCAAATTCACCTGCTCAATTCTGTTTGAAATTGCAATTCCAGCAGGTCAAAATCGACAGGGTCCTTTTTGCATGGCTTGTCCACTGCCCCACCGTTAACTTTTCCTCATTAATATTTTCCTCGTTAATGATTCCTTAATTTTTCCTCGCACAGGCAAGCGTAAGTCGAGCACAAGAGACAGTAAGCAGGTGTCTGAATGCAGCCGGGCTCAATTCCCAAACCATGTGTTCCAGGCATCCTGCTGCTTGGGTGTGCCCACGAGGTCCGCGCACGACGTGCGCGGCGTGTGGCACATAGTTCCATAAATTGGTGCCAAATGAAACGCGAGTCCGCGCTGCGTGCGAAGCCAAAGTCACCGTGACTTGGAGGCCATGTGGCAAGATTTCATCCGCTTCATGGCTGCGCAGATCTGGAAGAAAATTGTCGACGAGCAGGCGGAAATCGTTGCCAGGTTCGGCCCCGAGTTCACGACGGAAGCGGTGGATGCCATGGTGTACGCGGAGGCCGTGTTCAGGGAGGCCATGCGCGTCATGCCTCCCGGCATCGCCACGATGAAGCTGGCCACCAGGACCTTCGAGCTCGATGGCCGCCGCATCCCCAAGGGGTGGAGGGTCATGGGCAGCATGGCCTCGCCCGAAGATTTCCAGGACGACAAGTGGCCGATGAACTGCGAGTTCCGCCCCGAGCGGTTTCTGGCCCACAACGACCCCGGCGCCATGTCCAGCATCATATTCGGCATGGGCCCCCACACGTGCATCGGAAACTACCTGGCGCTGCTGGAGACCAAAATCCTCCTGGCCACGCTGGCGAGAAGCTACGACTTCACCGTCCTGAACACCTCGCCCGAGCTGAGCTTCATGCCCATCGCGAGGCCGAAGGATGGTCTTCCGATTGTGGTGACGAGGCGGTCAAACGACTGTTGAAAATGACTGAGCGGTAACAGACTTCTGTGCAACAGAAGGCCATAGAGGAAGCTGGCTGGAAACTATGGCTAGAATACAGCTGACGCGGGTGCGGGAACACTGCGCTCGCAAAACGCGAAGAGCGAACCTGATTTGTATAGGGCTGCTGGGTGTCTGGATGAAATGAGTTCCGCTAGATTGCCGTGTCTTTTTTGATCTGAATGTGCTTTGAGGGAAATGCATTGTGTTGGGGAAGGATCTGTCATCCATTAGGAATGCGTGCTTGGAAAAGTATGTCAAGCCTCCGAGGTTTCAGTTGCGATTTTTTTCGTTTGCTTTTCTGGAATTCAGATTCACGGAACCTGTAGTCTGCGAGGGTGTTTTGTCAGGAATGACCTGGGTTTGGTTGTGTCTTTAGAGGGATACTCATTGTCTTCAGATGAGGATAAAGTTTTCCTTTCCGTCTATCAGAACGCGCTCTCGCGCAAATGTTGTCCTCCTTCTAAGAATGAAGGGATCTGGGGGTAGAGAATCCAGCTGCCAAGTTTAACGTGAAACGAATAAGGGTACAGTCGAAACCTGATTTCCAAAACGAAGATGTGCTGTTTGAGATCTTGACTCTTGGAATCCTGTTTTAGGAAAGTGGTGCAAGGCGCAGTACTTCGTATTACTGGATTGTACCATTATTTGAATCGGGAGTTGGTGATTCGGGAGTTGCAGTTTGCTGGGAAGTTGGGACGAAACGATTTGGGTTCTGCCTTCAAAAGGGCATCCAGTTTCCACGAATGAGAATGCGAGTTGTGCAGACATGCACGAATTCTCGTGCGGAACTTTAATGCCATGAACTCTGTGTTGTGTGCATCAAACTTGTCGGGTCGGGATATGCTGTGGCGGGATGGGTCAACGAGCTCGAGCTCGTGAGATTTGGAGGAGGGGTTACCGCTGTGTGCGGCTCGCAGTTCTTTCGTGCCCTTGTTCTGATGATCGACGAGCAGTGGCCTCGCTTCCTCACAATGGCGGCGTCTATTCGGCCGTCCCAACCTCAATTGTGCGCCCTCTTCGTCCACGCATGCCTGCGAATGCCCTGTTGAATGCACAGAGAAACACGGGCAGCTCCCACCCTTGTTGCCGTTGTCTCTGAAGAAAGTTGCATACTCCAGAAATGTGCACATCCCAGAGGTGCGCGTATCGCAGGAGTGTTCTATGTCGGTCGACGTCGCCGGACTTCTCCGTCGCTGGGGTTGGGGGGACGTTGCCGCCACATGGCCCGTGGCGTCGGTGGGAGAATTGAGAGCCCTGCCGACGCCGCCGACGCCCCAGCGAATCCCCCACACCCCCTTGCGACAAATCAAGCCGACGCCCAGCCATCCCTCCAGCCCCTTCTGGCGACGTCGCCGGGGTTTGCGTCCCCCCTCCCCCTGGCGACGTCGCCCGAGGTTGGGCCTTTTCTCTGAGAATGCATGTGCGTGGCGTGGGCGCATCAACACTGTTTTGGGGAAACATGATACAAGGTTCGGTACTGCACAGTACTTACTTGCACCGATTCGTCCTGAAAGGGTGTTATCCTGGATCTGAGCGCCATGCCCTCCACATCAAGAATGCATTGCATCGCGTGGTTTCTACAGGGAGTGTGCCGGCAGCAGGTGCTTGCGGTCATGGTGTTGGGAATTTCGGAACAAAATTTCACACGTTGGCTGCACTTAGTGATGAGGTGGTATGTGGCCGAATTGTCGCATGGGCGTTTGTGATTGATGACGGTCCTTGTTGGTCGAATAGGTGAACGAGTGGCTGTGAAGGCATCACGAAATCTGGTCATGTTTGGTCCGCCGTTGGCAAGAAAATTTGGTGCTCGAAGCTTGACCAGGGCAAGCAACTAGGTAAAAGCCCGAGTTGTGCAAAGGTGTCGCCTTGCGTGTGGCCGTGTGCCAACGCCGTTGAGGCACCGTTGATCGTGGATCCGTGCTTCCTGTGTGCACTCCAAAGGGAGCCGTTTGAATCGCATCAGCGGCATTTCCTTCAACAGTCCCCTTCTTCCGCGAGTCCGCATCCCAACCACGCACCATTTCATAACGCGCGAGTCGGTGGAAGTCGGTGGAAGTGTCGGCAGAGTCGGTCCGCCGGGTCCATCAGAGCACGCCGCCGGTGCAACTTTCCGTGCGACCCCCCCCCCACAGCATCCCGTGGATCACCCCATGCTGCCCGCCCCCTCCGGCGCCCAACAACAGCCCCACCAACCCCAAAGTCGTCTGAATCGCTACGTTCTTCGCTCCGTTGCCCCCACCCCCCCACCCCCCCACCCCACTTCTGACGGTAGGTGCGCCTGCAACAGCGCCAACGTCTTGCACGCCTTGCCGAAACCTCCACGAAGCCCTTGCCAAGCCCTCTCATGGCCAGGCCCCAAGCTCCGGGGGTGCGCCATCGCCCGCAGACCGCCCTTGCCGCCCGCACCGGCCCTCCTTCGTGCGCCCCCCCCCGGCGCGTGAGGGTGCCCGCGTGGCGACCGGGACCGCAGGCGCACCGGCACGGCGAGCCCATGCGCGCCTCCGCATCCGAGACGCCCTGGGTGGCCGTCGGCGACGCCGCGGCGGACCAAGGCAGGAGGCCGCTGGAGGCGCTGCCACTCCCCGAAGGTGGGGTGCGGGGAAAAAGGGGTTGGGGGATGGGGGTGGGGGTGGGGTGGGGGGTAGTGGATTTGATGCAACCGTGTGCGTCGCGCTCTAACGGGGAGTAGGGAGGCGGTAGAGGGGGAGTGGGGGGAGTTGTAGCGGTGCTGTCGGTTGGCGCGCTGGGGCCTGATCGTGGCTTGTCGAAACCCTATAAGGTACCATCGCGTGCGCTGTAAGGCTGTGCCCGGAGGCGAGAGAACGTGATGTCTTTACAAAGTGGTGGGGCGGAACTCCTCCTTTTCCGCCAATGTTTCGGGGCCCATGGGAGGGAGTTCCGAGACAAACGGTGGCGAACGCGATGTCACGCAGCTCGAAGAGCGGAGCGCTCCCAACGAAGGGGGCGAGGGGGATCCCCATGGCGGTGTCGGCTTGGCCCGTGGGGTTTTGATCGCGGCATGTCGAGACCTTGGACGGGCGCAATGGGCTGGGCATGCGTGGCGTGGGGAGGCGATGGCGGGTGGCGATGGGCACCGTGGTGGCTTGCGGTCTGGCGGCAATGGGCATGTCGATCCCGTCCGATTCTATCCGAGGAGCGCCGCGGCGCAGCGCAGGCGTGCGCCGCTTGGCTGCGAGACGGAGGCGTGGGAGGGTGGGGTGGGGGGGCCGTCCGATGGGCGGTGGAAAATGTACGGCGCCCTGAGGCGCCTGCCCCCTTTAGAGGGTGTCGGGCGGGCGGCCATCGTACTACAAGCGCGACGCTCTTGGTGCTTCGAGTACCTTAATAAGGATGCGTTTGACATCCCGGAGGAGGGGTGACGCATTGTACTGGGTGCCACCGGAAGTGCGCTGGGGAAGGGACAGTCGAGGAGCGGTTCATGGCGGTGTGGGGCTCCGGGATTCAATTCGGTGGCGCACCGCCAAACAGCGATGCCGGCACCGCCGTCGTTGACTGGTGATGCCGTAGCGAGCCTCCGTTTTCATTGCCTTGAGATTGGGCGGGCCGTCAGTGCACGCCTCGGGTGGCTGCGGTGCCCGATATAGGTTCGCTGCTCCTGGACCATGGATGCGCTGCGTGCCTGCCAACGACTACAATCGCACAGCGCCTGCCGTGCTGGAGTGCATGTGCGCCGGTGTGAGCGTGCACACCTTGACAACTGAACCCTGTAGTGGAAGTGCCAGCTTAACCGAAATAATATTACTGCCTGCACCAAATCGGTGACTGCTTGCACCAAGTCACGTGCACACTTTGTGCTAACCTCAATTTTAGGGTTAGGTTTAGTTTCAGGGTGAGTTTTAGGGTTAGGGTTAGGGTTAGGGTTAGGACATGTTTAGGTTTAGGGTTTAGGGTTTAGGTTAGGTTAGTTTGGACGGAGTTGGACATGATGTGCACGTGACTTGGTGCAAGCAGTCACCGATTTGGTGCAGCCAGTAATTTTATGCCAGCTTAACCTCTCTTTCTGCATCCACGCGGGCATATGTACGTGCATATGCAAGCGTTCCTAAATGCGTGTTCATGCACTCCAAGGCAGAAATGCTCGGCCACGAGTTCATCTTCACGCTTCGTGTCGACTTGTGTGCACACTGAATACGCACGAAGCACCGTTCGTTGGCGCTTGTTGCCGATTACTCAACCTCAGGTGCGTTGAAATTACGCCGGTCTAGCATATTTGCTGGCGCCTGCCAGCATGTTCCACAGTCGAACTGGACGAATTCTCTTTCCTGGCGTGCCGCAGGAGACTGTGGGTTGCCCCTTCTCGGAAACACCCTGGACTTTTTCAACGGGCCGCAGCGCTTTGTGGCTGACCGCGTGAGAACGTACGGCCGAGTCAGCAAGGCGTCCATCCTCGGAAGGGACACGGTTATCGTTGCTGGCAAAGAGCTCCTGCACCAGGTAAGCGCATGAACTACCATTCATGCGTTCGCAGAGTGCTTGTGCGCATCTCAATGTTTTGAACGTGTTTGCTTGTGAATTGGACAGTGAACGTGAACTGTTTGCATCGGTTTCAGCTCGAATTTGGCGGATACGGCGTGTCCTCCATCAGGATAATAATGAGCAGTATCTCATCACTTCCTCGATCCATTTAGTTTCAGTAATTCAAGTGTATGCTGGGGTACAAGATTGTGTTAAATGCAGCTTACTGGAATAGATTATAATCTATTGTATATGATCATTAACTAATGATTCACAGTTCGCAAGTTTTACAATAGTCATTTGCATTGAATTTGGCGATGCTTGCAAGTGGCATGATGTGATCACATTTATATACTTACAAATAATTTATGTGATAGCACTTATTAACCTATTGGTGAAGAAGTAACAACTATTTGTTCGTGTGCAGATAAACGCTGAGGAGCCTGGACTGCTGACTCAGGATTTCTACGCAGGTCTCAAAGCGCTCTTCGGACCTGCTGCTT